AATAATAATATTATAATTAATCTTTTAAAATTTAATAAAATAATATTTTATTTAAATATTAAATTTTAGAATATTATGTTTCTTTATAACTTATATTCTTTCTTAAAGGTTTTTTAAAATTTGGTTATAATGTTTTTATTAATTACCATATTTTTAAGATTCTTTTCTAAATGGTACCTTATACACCCACATACCTTATCTTATTGGTTTTATTAAGATTTAATTTTTTTACGTTGTTTAGTTAACGAAAAACCTTTAAGGGTTCTTCTCACTTCTGCTATTGAGGTTATTTTATCAGTATTTTTTAAAAATATCCTTCTATATTTTTATATTATTAAATAATTAAATATATCCTTTTTAAATATTAACCATTTATTTATTAATTTTAATTTAATAATATTATTTAAGGTTATAATATTTATTTTCATTTTTAAAATTATTAATAAAATGTTAAAAAAGGTTTTATAATATTTTAAAGATTTTTATTGATTTATTTTAATAAAATCACTTTATTATTACAATTAATAAATTAAATAATTTAGGTACCCAATCTAATATAATTATAAAATATATAACTTAACTTAAGATCATTATTAAATTAATACCTAAATCTTCATCTAATAAATCCAAAATAAATATTTTAAATAAAATATTAAAATATTATAATAAATTTCGTAAAATAATGATTTTAAAATCAAAATAATTTATATTTAAATTATTTAAAAAAGATATTAATAATATATCATTAATATTTAATAAAAGTAGTTCTAATAATATTATTAATAATAAATAATTAAAATTTTTAAAGTAATTGTTTTTTATAAAATTTTTAATTTATAATTATTTTAATTCTTAAATTAAATATAAAAAATTATTTTTATTTAAATATTTAAAAAATAATGCTTTTTATAATGGTTATTTTTTTAAATTATATTTTACTATTATTTTATTTATTTATTTTATAATATTATTTTTGGAATATATTATTTAAATAATTAAATAATAATTTATAATGTTATTGAAATTATTATTTTATATTTTAAAATAATAAAATAAAATTTAAAAATTATTAATTAATGTGTATTTTAATATAATAATAATTTTATAAAAAGTTAAATTAATGTTTTAATATTAAGGATAATTGTAAGGGATAAAAGATTTTCTATTATAATTTTTGGCTTTTAATATTTTTTGAATTTTAATATTTTGGAATTCCCTTTTATCTTTATTTTTTTATTTTTTTTATTTGAATATATAATAGAAGTTATTATAATTTAGATTAGATATATCTTATAGATAAAATATTGAATATAAAGTTAAATAATATATTCAATTAGGATAGATTAATTTTTAATTAAGTTTCCAAATTTATAACCTATTAAAATAAAATATATATATAAGGTAAATTACTTGTATTATTAAGTTTATCTTAGAGAATAGATGGGCATATCTACAATATATAAGGTCATGGATATGGGGTGTATTATATCCCTGTATATCAGCCATACACATTCCAACAGATTTGATGAGAACGGCGAAATATACTCAAGTAGAGGTACCTAAGGCAAGTGACGGCAACTACCAAGATATTGGAACTGAGAGAATGTAAATATAATCTGTACTAAACTAATGCAACTACAAAATCAATATCACATACCTACCTACCTACCTACCCAGGTACCTAAGTAATTATGAGTTGAGGCTGACCTACGAATGAGTGTATAATCCTTATTTAAAATCGTCGCCGTTATAGTACTAATTATCAATATCGTCGGATTCCCGAGATGAACCCTGGCTCTTAATGGTAGCAAGAGCTGACTTGGTGAAAGCCAACGAGCCAGGATGTCTTAGTTACCAAAGTGTAAGCTTTCTACTATCTCGTCTGTACCTTATCACTAATTATAGTTATCAGAACAATACTTCTGAAGTTACTCTAGCTAAGCTGAGCTTGTTGCGATGTTTAGGATTTGAATCCTAGTAAAGCTTGCTCAAAATTCGGTATACATTGTTGAGGTTGGGACTTTTAAGATGAAGACCCCAGATATGTCCCACTCTATGCCTATGCCCTCTTAGAGTCATCTCGTTTAAAAGCCGATATGCTTCATCATAGTTAATAAGTTTAATTAATGAGTTCCTGTTTATCCAGTGATATTTTACAACCTCTCCGAACAGGTTCATTGAGAAGCATGCGGAAGACAATTAATGTAGAGGGTAAACAGGTAGTTATACGCAATTATTCTACTCCACTTATCTTATAGGGCTGCGCGCGTTCACTCGCCTAACCGTCTAACCTTAGGTACTGACGGATTCGGCAATGGGTAGTCGAATAAGGCCATCTGATACGCCGAAATTACGGACCCGCTCTAGCTGAACAGCCCTGAATGCTAGGCTAAGACTAATAGAGATAAGTAAACGTCGATCTTGATCTCCCTAGGGGCACAGGAATATTTACACTACTTATAAGCATGGGCATTACATTTGAACGTAAGAGAATAGTGTTGTTATGCATACCGCTCATCTTATAATCAGATGAGGAAGCACTCGGACTATTAGATCGATGCGATTAATTCGACTACCCCCTAGGACGTATTCCCTGTTTCCAGTACCTATCGCGCTGAGCTTATGTAGAGAGCATGGGAAGCACGAACCATGATAGGGAACCAACAACATGTCCTACGGATCCGAGAACGTCTTCGCGGAGCACTATAAAGTCTACTGGATATGTCTTCACTTGAACATTGTCTTTTACTCTCTACTCGTAGTTTCATCCTCCCACATCACTCGAGCGAATCTTCCACCACGATACTAATCGCTCACCCTGCGTTAATATAATAAATATACTACCATAATACCTAATCACCACGTCTACCTAAGTTCAACGCACCTCACGCACAAAAATGAAGTTTACAAGCACCATCTCCATCCTCGCCGGCTTCATGAGCTTCGCAGCAGCAGCGCCGTCGCCCGCTCCCGCACCGGCTCTATTTCCACGCGAAGACTGTCCCAACGGCGGCAACTGGAACCACTGCGAGCTCAACGGCCTGTACGTCGTCTGCGTGAACGGCCACGCTAGCAAGTATGCTTGCGACGGGGGCTGCCAGGCGATTTGTCCCGTAGGCCAGCCTTGCACGCCTCGTTGCGATAACGGCCGCCCTGCTTAGAGGTTTGGGGAGTTGGGGTATAGGTGTGAGGAGTGTAATGGAGGCGATGGGATGGGGGTGATTAGGGAACATTAGCCGGATGCATCTGGCTTGGTAGAAACACATTTTGGAATGCAGATCTAAGCTGCCAAATTTAACAACTTTTATGATTGCTATATTTTCATGGTGCGTTCTCGTTGTGGTTGTGAAGTAGATGCCGAAAGGTTTCCCCTTCGGTTTGCAAGTGTCAACAAGGGATATATAAACTAATCCACGTACTATTATCCTCGGATCGGGGTTTCTCGAGATATATTATAAGTCTTTTCCATTTATTTTTAAGTATTACTTCACTCCACCTTTTAGGTCCTTATAAAACATCTTAACTTTATATCAGGTTGGGTCAATCAATCTCAGTGCTTCAGGTATATATGCCATTTCTCACATTACTTTATTACTTTTCTAATCTTCCATGGGATTTCCCCCACGGTAATTTGCATTGTATTCCAAACAAACAATAATGTCTCATGTTTGAAGTATCAAAGACATTGTTACCTTCGTGTTCGCTTGCGCTGAACTATATATATCAGGGGAATCCATGAACTCGGGAGCTCCCTGGACAAATACATCAGCGTCTTACTGCAACTTGGTTTTATCCTCCCCGACGGGAGGATCCTCATATTTGGAGTCTTCGCAGGCCTTATCATATTTATTCTTAGGTATTTCTCCCTCCATTGTAGATCCATTTTCATCCTCTGACAGGTCAAACAGTATTTCTGGTTGGGCTATTTCTTCCTCAACCTCTTGGATGTGTTCTCGTAGATAATTGGTCCAATCTGGGTCTACGTGGCCTAGACCCCATAAGTCAATATACTTGAGTATAATTTTGGAGGCAGTATTATCGTCGATCTGTAAGATTTCTGCGTCGTGACCTTCCCATATTTGTAATTGGTATAGTAGGATGTATTCACGGTTGGCGGTACATTTGCATGTCTCAAGCATGTGTACTATGTCTTCCCATACTGGCAATCCAATTTCGTCAAAGTTCATCAGACAACCCCATGGGAGTACTTCTTCCTGTCTGATATTATAGTTGTATGCCATGTCGTTCTTTTTCTCACTTATGTTCAAAATACTTGCGATAATAAATGCTACACTTATACCTAGAGAAGCTGTGGGAAGTCTTTTGAAAATAGATAAACCAACGTTGACGAGAATGTTGATCAGGAAAACTCTAGATTTCTAGATGCGTAAGGCGATAATATATAGGAATATCCACGAGAGAGAAAAATAGAATTGTCATTAGACAGCAGCTGTCAATTCCATACGACAAAGAGACGATCACCCAGGCGGACAACGCGATATATATATATATTTATTCTAACATGTTCTTTTCTTATAGAAGTTTTGAATTTGCTATAGATTTCTTCAGCTTGAACGTTATCTAACAAGGCCTATACCAGTGCATCATAGCTGATGTGGAAGCATAGCACTGTTCACGCACACTCTGGGACAGGTAGTCCAAGTGCTAAACAAGCCGGCGCGATAGCACGAATAGCCACAGGCATGAAGCAGTTGTATGAGGCGAGGCCTCCTCCAAGCCTCAGTGATAAAGTGTACACTCCAACTAAGCATATGTAGAGAGTGAGGATAAAAGCCATATCCATCAGCTCTGAATAGGGTTAAGATAAAGATTGATTAAGTAAATACATCCTTTTAATTATCAATTGTTGAACCGAAAATGTTGGATAACAAATAGCCTTGGTCACTAAACTGAAAAGAAAAAAGTTGATATAGGGTCGAGTATAATTGCGCTGTAAAAAGTGGCGAAGAAAAGAAAAAGAGAAAAGAAATTCAAAAAGTTGGACGAGCAGGGAGTCGAACCCTGGGCTTCTCGCAATTTTAATATGCAATGCAAAGCGAGCACTCTACCACTGAGTTACACGCCCTTAGAAACTAGAACTTGTTTTTTGCTAGTGCTAGCTGATTGACAAATCGAGTGATTAACTGCGTTTATATATATACCGCATTAGAGCAGCGCTATGACGTCATATTTGGAACAATATACTTCGAAGCAACTTGTCGGAGATCGGCTTCAAAGGCAACGTTGTAGGTTCTCTGTAGTAGTTTCTTTTGTCCTTGTTGCTTCTTTGTTATTGATATGAGTTGTCACAATGTTCGATCCTTGGTGTATCCGGTACCCGAGGGTTGCGACAACGAGAAGCATTATGCAACTACCTAAACTTGGCGATGCGATACTTTGCGGTAGTGGGTCGAGCGGTAAGCCTTGGGGGAGTCCAATTCGACCTATCAGACTGTTAGTGATTTGTCAACTGGTGCACTCTTACTGGCCGCCCTATACGAGTGGGACATTTACGATCGGCGGATAGCGTGGCAGAGCGCCGTTACGTTACCAAAAGACTGCCGGAAGCTTATCGGGGTCCCTTTCGTTTCTTATGTCCGCATCGGAAGGTTTCCAGCCCGACATTGTCATAATTCCTCCCTCAGCCTCTCGCGTTACCCACTATAGGGTCGTTATAGGATCGCTATAGGATCGCTATAGGGCGGCGTAGAATATACTTGTTATATTTAAATCCGTGACTTTATTCATGGTATATAACCAATATCCAAAGACTATCGACTTGGACATCTGAGTAGGAGTTAATAGGTTGGGCAGTTAAACTAAAACCAGTTAACTATCACTATATTCTATACCCTATACCCTATACCCTATACCATATACCATATACCATATACCATATACCATCCGCGTCTCTTCGAATCACAATGGCTCCGCATAACATCCAGGATGAAACCCCATCCGAATTCAACGACGGTCCACTAGCGACTGAGGTACGGCCACCCACGCCACCACCCATGTCCGCCAGTCCACCCCGGGTCGTCGTTATCGGCGCGGGGTCGCGGGGTCACACTTACAGCCGCTGCATCGGCGAATCTAGCAACGGCGTCGTAGTCGCCGTCTGCGAGCCAGACAAGTACAAGCGCGAGGAGTTCGTGCGGAACTACATCCAGCGCGACGGCAAGGAACCCCCCGAAGGCTCTAGTTTTAACGACTGGAAAGACTTCGTAGAGTGGGAGGTGCACCGCCGTGAGCGCGAGGCGGCTGGTGAAAGGAATGTACCGGAAGGTGTCGATGCCGCCTTCGTGTGCGTTCGCGATGAGATGCATCACGATGTCGTCGTGGCTCTCGCTCCGTTGGATTTGCATATCATGTGCGAGAAACCGCTTGCTGGAAATCTAGACGAGTGCGTCGCCATGTACCAAGCTCTAGCTCCTCTGCAAGCCCGCAAAGTCTTTTCCGTCGGTCACGTACTTCGGTATTCACCGCACAACATGCAACTCCGCAAGCTACTGCTCGAAGATCGTGCTATCGGTGATGTCTTGAGCATCGTACATACCGAACCCGTAGGATACTGGCATTTCGCACACTCGTACGTCCGCGGCAACTGGCGCAAGGAGTCTACCACCGCCCCTTCTCTATTAGCCAAGAGCTGTCACGACATGGACATCCTACTATGGCTGATGTGTTCGCCAACCCACCCCGGCTCGGACGAGCCTCCACATATCCCCTCCGAGGTCACATCCATGGGGTCGCTACAATTCTTCCGAAAGAGCCGAAAGCCCAAAGCCGCAGGCAACGCAACAAACTGTCTAAGCTGCCCCGTCGAGTCCGAGTGCATATACTCGAGCAAGCGCATCTACGAAAGCCCGCGCCACTACGGCCTCGAAACGGGGAACCGGTCCTGGCCCATCAGCATCGTGCTGCCAGACATCGAGAGTTTCGGCGGGGACATCGAGCGCGCGCGCCCGGCGCTGCTGCAGCGTCTAGCCGAAGACTACGACGAGTCGACCCCGCAGGGCGAAATCGACGCCAAGAACTGGTTCGGACGGTGCGTCTTCGAGTCCGACAACGACGTCTGCGACGAGCAAGTCGTGACTATAAAATGGGACGACGACCCGCTCCCCTCTTCGGCGCAGAACGACTCCGTCGGCAACAGAGGCGCCAAACAAGCCACCTTCCACATGATCGCGCAGACGAAAAAGCAGTGCGAGCGCTTCACCAACGTATACGGCACCACGGGCGAGATCTACGCCGACTCCTACACCATCACCCTGGAAGACTACACGACGGGCGCGACGCGCACCTACAAGCCCAAGCTCGAGAGCGGCGGCCACGGCGGCGGCGATCACGGCATTACCCGCCAGTTCATCCTCGCCGTCGACCGCGTCAAGAATCACGGCTGGGAGGCCCCCCGCGCCCAGAGCGAGTTTATCGGGTGTAGTCTCGAGGAGATTATCCGTAGCCACGCCATGGTTTTTGCGGCCGAGGATTCTAGGAGGCAGCGCAGGTTTGTGGATTTTAGAAAGTGGTGCGCCGAGAAGGATATCGCTGCTATAGCTGCGTCTTGACCTACGGTCTTGATTAAGATATAATTATCCCCGGAGGATTTTTAGTGAGCTTTTGATTGTGTATTTTTTTTTTATTACTACCTTATTCATGTTGTAAGAGGTAGTCGATTAGGGAGCATGGGTTGTTCTGGCGTTTTTGCTTCTTCATGTCGGCATCCAACGGGTCGGGAAGACGTTACGACAGTATAGGCTTTTAAGCGCTTTGAATTGTGAAGATTGCGCGTCTTATGAATTCAGAAGCACGCTTTGTTTGCTACTTATTACATAGGTACCTACCTAGGTATACATAGTGTATGGCCTACTATAATACACGTCCGCCCTGATATTCTTGGACAAACCGAGACGCCGTGCCGCGAATGACTTCAAAAATATTAAGTCCTAATCACACCAAAGAGAGCACCCTTACCGAATCTATACGGCTCGAGGTGATTAGGATCTTCATTGTGAAGTCGGTGTGTTGGGCATTTCTATTCCATGACCCCTTTGCAGCAATTCCATATAGTCCCCCAAGCTCTTCTCCCTTCGACGTCGCATCGCCATTGCCTGTACATTATCCCCCGCTTCCCGATGCCATATTTCTAGCAGCTGCATATTCTCGAATATCTGCGCTTCGCCGAAACCATGTCCGGCCTGAGCAGTGTCGATGGACTTTTCCAAGGCATACCGAGCCAGCGCGTGTCGCGGATGGTTTCGTACCGCAGAATGGTCAACTCCACATCGACTTCTATGAAATTGGGCGATAATACGCCACGCTACCCAGCTAGTCCAGTCGTATTGATCTGATATGTCAAGTTGGAGCGCAACACGAGCTAGTTTAAGTGAACGATCATCCAAGGGTCCCTTTTGCCAGAGATATGCTACGGGTTCGATGAGCCTCATCAAATCTGGTGAGTGCGATCTTCCGTGCGAATCAAATATTGCTGAAGCTGAAGCCACCGCTTTTTGGAGGGATGGCAGGTTAGTCCTTGACGAATTAGATTGTATCAAATCTCCAAGTAGAGCAAGACTAATGGACGGCGCGATAGTCTGCGAGAAATCGTTTGTTTCGAGTAACATATCCAGTATGCTCTCTATACAGCTGAATATAAAATCCACACCGGTCTCCAGCGTATTATTACGAAACACTTCGTATATCGCGGTGAATAGCCTGTAAAAGGTGCTCGATGATCCTAAAGTGGCTTCTGCATACCCCGCCAAATACCTCCATAATTCCTTTGCCAGCCCGTGATCGGGAGATATCACGCTAGCTACTAATAAGTCAAATAAACCAAGGGCAGATGGTTTCTTAACGAGTAAATGCAACGAGTTGAAGGCGCGCTGGCCAAGAAGAGCACCTAGAGGAGTATGATTCCTCGAAAAGAACCAGCAAGCCCTGCTGAAATCTCTGGTAGCCTCGCACAATTCACCATCAAAGTAAAGGTTGAAATCATTCTCGAAAGATGCGGGCGTTTCTAGTGAATCTCGCCAGCTCAAGGTAAGATCTTTGAAACACGATACGAGAACTTCTTGGGCGTGAAAGTGAGATGGTAAGATCATATGCTGAGGGTCGGCCGGCGGAGGTGTAAGCGCTCTTAAATATTCGGGTAGGTCCACGTCGGCGATAGGTGTTACAAGTTCGAGACTTGATATCCCCTTTCGCTTCATGTATGTCTCGATATCGACCGACCTTCCGTGACGACGGAACGCTGTAGGCTTTCCTACGGCACCGCGCTCGCGTTGCAACCGCAGCATCATCGCTACGTCCTTCTTCTTGTTATTCTTAACGAACCCCCATTGCGAAAACTTAGCCTATAAATGGTTAATAATGCCTTCCATAGTATTATACAGTGCACCATTTCTCTTTACCTTATACATGCGGGGACTAGACACATTAGCATACAGTTCTAACACGCGAGTGAGTTTCTGGTATATACTAACGTTGCTCTAAAGCCCTTCGCTTGCATTATATCCATCAGCTCATTCAACGATTTATTTTCTTCGATATAGAGTTCGTGTATCTCCTCCTTATATAGTTCCCATAGCTCCGGCTGAAGATGGTGGCGTGTTGGAGTTTTACTGTATTGTACTGATTCCGCTGGGCGAAGGGCAATAGTCAAAGGCCCTGGGGAACAACTCCCGTCCTCGATCATATATTTCCTCTCATGCTTAGCAACAGCTAGACTTCTATACGGTAGTAACAAACCCGAATTGGGGCGACTAATAGTTATTTGCGGTTGATCTACCCCGATAGTGTATGGCTCATACGGCTCCGAAGGAGTCAAAGAGTGGCCGGTCGTTCCGTCATACCGAGATAATAAGCTAGTATTGGAACCCGGGCTCTCGATTTTCACGCTATAACCTGGAGAGGAACCGTCGGTATTAACGCCATCATAATCGGCGCCCTCGAAAGTTTGAAGCGGCTCATCTGGATTCAGCGCGGGTTCCAAATTCGGCCCCGCTGACTGGTAGTGAATATTTAGCTTCATGTGATACATCAACGCGTAAGCGACTTGGACAATTGGTAGCAATTGGCAAAGAA